GATTTGTTGATTTCAGGCACATGTTTAACATAACAGCAAATTATTATTATTATTTATTTACATTTATTGGCTGCCCAACTCCAGTAGACTCTGGGCGGCAGACAAATCTAGAAAAAACATTATGATGACTCTTGTAAAATGATGGCCACTTACCATGGTCTCATGGAATTCACTACGATCATCTGTGCCATCCACTTTGTATGTCTCCGACTGGCTTAAATAATAATAATAATCTGGGCTCATAATGCCCAGATTGTGTTTCTGATCTTGAGAAGCCCCCTCAATAAGCTGGAGAAAGAAAAAGATAAAGACATGAGACTGATGGATTGCCATTTTAAATTCTTTAGGACAGGGTCAACAACTTTTCTCAAAGGTGGCAGTCTCTCCAAAGTCATTTCAAGGGATCTAGATAGTAGAGGGGCAATTAGTGGGTTCAGAAACAAAAATGAATAGGATTCTTGTTCTACCTGGCCTGCCTTTTCCCTCCTCTTTCTGATTCTCTCTCTCTCTTTCTTGCAGGAAAGGTACAGACAGTTCTTACTGGAAGTCTAAACTCATCTCATGCAGAACATTTTGGAAATTGAGCAGAGGGTCATCTCAGATGAGCTAGAAAATTGTGTAGTGCATGTCAGGCCACAGCCTTGTTTCAACAGCTCAAGGGATGGTGTTCAGATCAAGTTTTGGTCAACCCTCTGGGGCGGGGAATAATTTGAGTGATTGTGACAAGCCTATAGCCATCTGGTGAGCATCAGGACTAGCGGGGGGTTTGAACCTGGCTCCCTCCACTCTGTCCCAGTCCAACACTCTAATAACAGTTACGCCATTCAAAGAGATCATGTAATGGTATGTGGGAATGACCTTGGGAGACAGGAGGGAAAGCCGCAGACTGGACAACTGACGTGTAAAAGGTATCTCAGCCCACAGAAGGAGGGAGAGCACGGGAAACATTTCAGAAGGGACCCTCCCCAGTTTTCCAGGGAGTAAAAGGAAAGGAGGGGAGATCACGGGAAACATTTCAGAAGGGACCCTCCCCAGTTTTCCAGGGAGTAAAAAGTAAAAGTAAAAGGGAGGGGAGAAATACTTTTAGTCTTGCAAGATTGTTAATTTAACCTTACAATAAGGTAGAGCTAGTACTCCTGGTTGTGCTTCTTGTCTGGACTACCTTGCAGGGCTAACAGATCAGTAGAAAGCCCATCATCTTTTTCCCCCCAAATTTTACTTACAAATTATAAGAAAAAAAAATAGGCAAAACTCCAAAATAAACTAAAAAAACTAAAAATACACTAAAAATACACAATGAACAACCTTTAAACTAAACAAAATTTTAAAAAACACCCAAATCTATTGCTGGTCATAAATCAGAACACAGCAGCATAGGTCGCACACCTATGTACAGGTGGGCCTGCACAAGCATCTTCATGCAGTGGCCATATATGTGATTAGTTCCAATTACCTGGTAATAGATGTGGAAGTTCCTTTCACTCTCGTTTTGGCTCACCACCCGGGATTTTTCCAGCAAGAAATTGGAAATCTTTCCTCCGTCGGGCTCACCTCCACGACTGAACTGGATCTCAAAGTATTTCCCCTGGTATGAGATGTTGGAGGTTGCAAATCCAATGGTGCTGATGCTTCAGCACCTCATGGTCTACTGACCACAAGGGGGCAGCAGGGTTTAGGTTCAAAGTTAAGGATTTCCTTGTTCTACCTGCTCTTTGTCTAAACAGTGTTTCTCAGCGTTGGCAGCTTTAAGATGTTTGGACTTCAACTCCCAGAATTCTCCAGCCAGCTGGGGAAGTTCTGGGAGTTGAAGTCCAGACATCTTAAAGTTGCCGACGTTAAGGAACACTGGTCTAAGAGATTACATTTCTGAAGTCACTTCCTTCTACCTATCTTCCTGGGCGCACATGCACAGAGCACATGTTCTTGGACTGTTTTCTTAGTAAGAGGCATTTGGGTGGTTGCTAGGCTTTGCCTATCCCTATTACATATTTCCTGTGAATAAATTTCCTTTCTATATGAGTTATACAACTTGCTTCATTAAACTTTGCTCAGGTCCGATTCCCACTCTCGAGAGTGTGCATGTGTGCACAGAAAACATTTCAGCCTCCAATGTGACAGAAGGCACATTAGGCAAACCTGAAACTGGAGGATCTAGAAATAGGCACCCCAAGATTTTTGTTTACAAGATGTTGGGGTGACCTTCCTGACTGAGTCTTCTCAATATCTAGATGAGGGATGGGTGCACCATTAGGGGAACCCACCAGTTCCAACCCTTTCCCTTTATAAGGAGCACAACAGCAACGCTGAAAGCATTTGGAGGACATCGTGTCATTGGCTCAATGACTCTCATGATCCCTACAGATGCTATCTGCAGAACCCCATTTACAGTAAAAGATTTTATTTTTCGAATGGCTGAAATCTCACCAAATCCCCAAATCACACAAATTATGAGTGTTGTTCCTTTTTTGCCCACCCCCAGGGGAAAAATCTCAAAGTTCTTACCCAATGGGCAAATAGGCAATGTTTGAACTGAGGAAGGATGCTAGCGGGCCTCTTTGTATTACTATGGCACAGTAGACTTCTTACAGGCAGATCACATTCACAAGATGTTCTCAGTTTTATATATTGACTTGCCAAGCTCTGCAACAAAGCCAACGTGCCAACTGCTATTTGCTGGTCTACCCACAGCCATTCAGGCTACAAAATTACAGAACCAACTCAGATGAACCTTTCAAGAACAGTAAGAAGGAAAAAGAAGACTCAAGGAAACCTTGTTCTGAGCAGGCTTGGGGGTCATTTAGTTCCAGTCTCTTAATTCTATTGGCTATATATATTAATACGCACCTTTGCATGTTATACAACGCCTATTATTTATTTATTTATTTATTTATTTATTTATGACATTCCTACTGCTGCCTAACTCACACAAATGTGACTCTGGGCACTGTACATCAATATAAAACAAAAAATCAAGTACAACATCTGCAATTAATAGATGATCAGAAACTTTCTGTACGCACTGTATGTTGCAAGGCAGGATCTGCTATCATCCTTGTCTCAATGCCTGGGGAAGAACATTTGTAATGCCTTTCTAAAAGCATGGGGTTCGGAAAGGGGGGGGGATCATTCCAGAGGGCAGATGTTGGAATGGAAAAAGGGCACATTTCCACATGTTCCACAGTCCTGAGGAACAGCATCCCCCCCAGAGATTCGGATGGCCTCAACCCTGTTAGCTTTTTGCAAGGCACTGAGGATCTGGCTGTTTCTCCAAGCATTTGGGTCAGGTGAGTAGATGAGCTGTGTTACTATTGATAGTGAGTAAGTTCACTGTTGATCCTTGGGCGTTGGGGGGGTTATGTGCAGTGGGTTGGTGTGTTTTTCTCCTGTAAGCTGCCCAGAGTCACTTGTGTGAGATGGGCAGCTATAAAAATCACATCAATCAATCAATCAATCAATCAATCAATCAATCAATGTCCATTTTATAAAAATCTGCATCCTCTTTCACCCTCTTTTTGATTAATGCATTTTCTTTGCTTTTTTTGCAGCATACTTTGTGCCCCATACAACAGCCCCTCTTTTCATATTTGGATAGCAAGAATGTCTGCACAAATAACCCGCTTCAAAGACTTACGAATCGACTGGAGTTATTATTTCTCACGGTCTTGGCGTTGCCAAAGGCTTCAAGCAATGGATTGGACTGGAGAATGATGTCTTTGACATGCTGAAAAGAAAAGAAAGGCTTGTGTGGTGGCCAGATGGAGCCAGCTGGAACAGAATCGTGGTTACCTAAAAGGGGTTGGCATCAATGGGTGGTCCCACAAGGGTGCAACTCAAACTCTGCCTGTTTTTTTACATGCGACATATAGGCTTTGATTGCATCATCACAGCTGCCATCTTTTTTGACGGTACCTTGCAGACAGCCCTGGCTGAAAGGCACCGCTGCAAAATTTTGTGTAATACGGTAGGGTATCTGCCAGATCATCATCATCTGGCATAATCTTGCAGGATTGTAGGAAATTGGTGTCTATCAACAGAGCAGCAGTATCTGAATCTATAAGATGGTGGGTATGGCATCACAACGGAAGGGACAGGGTTTCAGTTGTGATGCCACACCTGCCACCTTGCAGATTTTGACCCCCCTCACAGATGGCCCTGCGAGAAAGGAGGGGACTCCTGATCCTAAGACCCTGCCCAGGCCACCCCTCAAGCCTGCAGTCTTTTCATCTGGTCCTCCGAAGCTCAATTCTTATGTCTCTAGGAGTAGAGTCATAAATATCAAATGGTTTGCTCTATACCAGCCTGAGGTCTTTCAGATCTGTTGGGATGAGGACTCCCAGAATTCCTGTGCAGACTAGGAATTATGGGAGTAACAATTCCAACACACCTGGGAAGGGGGAGGCATTTGCAAAACGTGTTGCGCATGTCATGGCTTCTGAAACAAAACCATCAGATGTTGTCCTTCCTGCACAATGAAGTGAAAGAGGAGAGTAAAAAAAAATACAGAATTCGAAGACGGAAGGGAAGAGAATGTGAGCCTCTTGACACCTACCTGCACCTTTTCGCCCCCTCCTGACACCTTGGAAATGTATCCCATGATGTATTTCGCAGCCACTGTTTTCCCAGCACCACTTTCACCACTAAAAATACAGACACATGCTGTAAAATGGGCGAAATAGGACAAACTTAAAAAGCAGAGAGAACAGGAATCTCTATGTAAACCCTGCGGGGTGTCACTGCTTCTTGCAAACTGGCCCCCTCTGCAGAGATCCACGAAACGTACCTACAGCCCACGACCCACTTGTAGCTTCTGAGCCCTCAGTTTGTGCCCTGTTGCCCCCAAGCGCACCCTTGGATCCTGCTGCTAAAATCCAAATTGCTGCTGTGATCTTCCACTTTTTTTTTTTTTTTTGCATTAAAAACTTAATACAACATATACCTATTTGCGCTTATCCCCAAACTTCCCACAGAAAAGGAACAAAACACTCACTGTGTCATCAAGCATACCCCCGTGGCTCTGTAGCCAGATGGACGGACGGACAGACAGACAGACTGACTCTTAGCAGCATGAAGAAGTAATGGAAGGTTTGGATGAATACTTCCTTATGCTTCAAGCACTGATTCAGCTGGCTTTACCATTAAGCAGAATGAAGCAGGTGCTTTAGGCAATGGATCAGGACCCATAGCATTCCTAACCCACTGCTTCATGGGTCCAGTTTTCCAGAGCCCTCACTGCCCCGTCTGGATCCCAGTTTTACATCACTCAGAGGGCATCCTGGGACGATGCATTGAAAAGGCAAGCTGGTTGGCTGAACGGAGAGTGAAGGGAGAGGATGATGGATACAGGAAAGGTTTGCATTGCAGATGCAAGCTGAGGGAATACCTTGCTCCTGGATCTTTCCCTCCTGCTTTGTGCTCTTATTACTAAGGACAATGCAAGACTTATTGTAGAGTTTTGCAGCATGTATACAGGGGAAAGTTGCCCCATATCCTGCAATCAATCTTTTGCAATGATCTCATCATGACTGCAGTGGAAAAGATTAACTAAAAAAGGAGACAGAGTTTGCACTCTGTGCTAAGGACATCAACTTTCCTTTCCCTGTCTAGAGTCCATGGCTTCAGAAAGTTAAAAGGTTCAGCACTTTCTCTCTTTGCGCTCCCACCCAAAAAAGGTTGTTCTGCACGTAGTGAAGCTACAGAATTTCTGATAAAGAGGACACCCCATATAGATGCCATTCATGCTGTTTCCACTCGTATTTTAATTTAATCTTTTAATATAGTCTAGCATGTTTTTTTAAACATATCTATTTACAACCAAGAGAAAAAACTCATGAAGTCAGATATCACTGCAATATTTATCATTACAAAAAGGGGGGGAAAGTCTCTCGTTTTCTGTAAAGTTAATTCTGCAAAAAGCATAAGTTCCTGTAATTTTTTTTAGCTCTTCTGTGACTGAAGGATGTTCTACTGATTTTTCAGTGTTGAGCAATACACCCCTTTGCTGCTATTCATAAAGCTGGAGCTCCTTGTGGCAGTGACCCTCGTAGACGACGGGTGGGGGAGCTGACCAGCAAGTAACAGACAGCAAACACTGAATTCTCCTAATTCTATTTCCATTTTTATATGGTGAAATAGAGCTAGGGTGGTGGGGGCGGAAAGATCAAAGGCCTTGATGTCTTTTTGACCAAAAGGCATAGCCAACCATGGGTTCCTTTAGCATCCTGATTTGCTAGCAGGGTCTTGCTGTGGGTTCACACGGTCCAGCTTCCTCCTGCTTTAAGTGCACAGATGGGGCCATCCAGGGGCATCTGCAGAGGGGAGTTCAAGAAAGTCCAAAATGGCAGCTACAACTGTGCCATCGAAGCCCCGCCAAAGGGGCTTCGTTGCACAGTTGTGACTGCCATCTTGACTTTTTGACCCGCCTCTGCTCCGCAGTCCAGTCCTTCCATTACAAACCCAGCATCCATCATCCTAGCTATTGGTCCCCGCAATGCCAAGTTTACCTGATGATAACACACTGGTTCTCTCCATCAATGAGCATATCGCGGTACATGTTGTCTGTGAGTGCATAGATGTGAGGTGGATTCTCGTACTGAGCCTAGAATATAAACCGGAGGTCTGCAGTCAGGACTTAAAATTTGCGTTCATAGTCTTGGTAGTGCTCTCCTGCTTCTCAGAGAGCTGCAAGGCTACTGCCGCTGACCAGGAGGAAGCCCCCTTCAACCGAATGGGTGGACTTAGGAACAGACATGTGCAAGCTTGTCCTGCAAACACCAGCAATTGGCATTGTTGAGGAAGTTCGCTTATCTCTTCACTTGCACACCCACAGTGCTTGCAGGTAGGAAATTCCTATATTCTCCCTTGTCCGGCTCTGCTTTCAAGGGCTGGGTTTACCCACAAGCTAAACAAACTACGAGAGCCAGTTTGGTGGAGTGGTGAAGGCACCAGGCTAGAAACTGGGAGACTGTGAGTTCTAGTCCTGCCTTAGGCACAAAGCCAGCTGGGTGGCCTTGGGCCAGTCCCTCGCTCTCAGCCCTAGGAAGCAGGCAATGGCAAACCACTTCCGAAAACCTCTCCAAGAAAACTGCACGGACTAGTCCAGGCAGTTGCCAGGAGTCCACAATTTCAGCTGGGAAAATATCAAACGATCAAGTAAGAAGCAATACTCTATTCAAGGACATTAGAGTCCATGCGCTGGTGATATTACCCAGCCTGGTAATGAAATGTCTGCTAGAAAACATCATGCTTAGAGGAGACAAAGAATCCAGCATCAGTAATGATTTCTTCTGTTGTGTGTGTTTCAAAGAGTTAGTTATGCCTTTTTGCCTTCCCAGAAAGTATGCCTCCACCCAAAACAACACTTTTTGCCTCTTTCTCTGCCTTCATCCGATATTCAGTAGAAAGGCCTTATTCTGTGGCCATTAAGTATATTCTAGCATCATCCGATCATTTTAATTCTAACTTTCATTAGGCTGTTTTTTCTGAAAGATTGATTTTTGTTTTGTTTTGCTTTTTTGGACTTGTGCAAATCTTCTGATTTCCCAAAACTCTCGATTGGCTTTCTTTCTCTTATGCTTATTTCTGGTGCTATTTTGGCTACAGAAGCGATGATATAATCAGAAGTAATTTTTGCTGATTTTGATAGGCATGGGCATTGCAGCCCTATTCAGTGCAAATCTTATTTAGCCTCTCTTCTGCTTTCAAGGCTTATATTTATATCCATAAGGACTAGAGATTTAAGATTTTAAAGGAAAAAAACGGAGATTCTCTACAGTCTGAATCCTGCACTCACGATCACATTCTATACTTCTTATGCACTTCTGCAGAATGACGACTAACTTCCAGCCTTGTCAATAGTTTTATCTACCATCTTTCTACAAACGAAGCAATATTCACAATGTATAAGGCTAAACTTTTGAATTGATTTAATAGTTCGATTAGCTAAAAAGATCTCAACCCAATGGAATTCCTTTGTTATATTGTAATGATCCTTCTGCAGGGGCATCTGCAGGAGAGGAAGGTCAAAAAGGTCAAAATGGTAGCCATAACCATATATTTGAAGCCCTGCCCCTCTTTATGTAAAAAGAGGGGCTTTAAAGCTATGGTGGAATTCATGATCTTGACTTTTTGACTCCTGGTGGATGGCCTAATAACAAACAAGGAAGAAAATTCCCACCACATCATATGAACAATGGATTTCATTAAACAGATTACAGATTACATTATAGTAAATAATTAAACCGATTACATACATGAATTAATCTGAACTCATGGATTTAAAGGACATAATTTTTTTTTAAAAAAGCATTTCTGGAGATCATACCAAAAATCAATTTAAAATATCATCCTGATTTGCTAGATACTACCTGCAATCTGATAGTTCTTCTACATTTCTTGCTTCAGTTTGAAAAATCTTAGATCAAGTCATTATTGTTTGCTACCCTCCCTCAAAGGTTTTGATAGGAAGAGTGGTATCTTTATATAACCCATTTTATTGGATGGATTAAAAATATAATTAGATAAAAAATAGATTGTAAGAAATTCAAGAAATGGGATTGGACAGATTCCCCGGCTCTTATATCAGTGTTTCCCATCAAATTGACTCACTGCTCCTTGATAGAGTTCAACTTCTCGGTCTGTAAAGTAGGGCATCTGCTTAAAGGGGTTGACAGATATAAGGACTGGTCCGATGTAGGTCTGAGCATTGCTTATTAAGGTCCAGAAAGAGAAAAATATGGGCTGTAATTTGTTTAGTAAAGTTTGGGCTACAAAAACCTGGTCAAGATTTGCTGCCATCTTGTCTGACGTTTCGCAGGCCTGATAAGGTAGCCCTTGAGTAATGTTCCAACAGGCACCTAAAAAGTGGGAACGCTTTGATTTTTTTGCCAGAGTAGCTTCCATATGCTTTTTCAGAGTGTGATGAAAAATGCAAAGGAATATGAAATTTAACACGTGCAATGAAGTCCACCTTGGAAGCCCTCCAGAGCATAGTTCTTCTTCATCTTGTGGAATCAAAGCTAAGCCAGCAAGATATCCATAGACTCTTCCCTAAGTAAAGATCCTTTGGATTCATGCCTGAATATAGAAGTACATGTGGATATGGATATATATGTATTTTCGCTCACAGAGCAAAGGACCTAGTCCGATCTGAAGAACTAAGCCACTCAGAGCCCAAATGTGTATGGCCCCTTGGGCTGGTCCTTTCAATTTTGGCCTCTTCATTTCTTGTCTCCCCATTTCATCCAAATTAGAGCCACTTCATACTCCCCTCTCTGAAACATTTGAACCACCATAGCTAAACCTGGCTTTTCTGATACTAAGGATGGCAAATTACTTTTAGTGTGCTTTATTGTTTTTTTTAAAAATGGAGAGTTGTTTTTGTTTTCGTTTTTAAGTAAAAGCTGACACCTTCCACTGTATTTGACTATTCTTTCTGTGGGTAGTATTTATATCAAATACCACTATCTTGGGGGTAATCTTGGGTAATCTGGTGGGATATGGCTACAAACTTAGCAAATGAGATGCAAAGGGAAGGAAATGCTGGAGAAATCCCAAACAGACTCACTATTGACTCTATCTAACCCCCATTTTTCTACCAAGCTTTTGACATCTGCTTTATAAGACACCTGTCATCGTCTGTATCTGCTTAGGGACTTCCTGCTGGCACCTCCTACCTTCTCTCTGAGTGTCTATGCCGTGTGAAAAGTATCAGCCGCATTCTGAAGGTCCCGATTAGCAAACAGACAACAGGGAGATAGCAGTGAGAGGGTGTCGCTACTCACTACAAGGGCATCTTATCCCAGGCCATTGCAAAGGCTGGAGAAGGCCCCCTTTCACATTCAGCTGGGCTACTCAAATTTAGACAAGCTGAAGTTACAGGGACATAATATTTATTACCCCACAACCACAACCACATTCAAACGGAAACAAGGATGCATAGGAGGGTATTTGTGCACAGCCCTAAACTAACCGCTTGAAAGTTTTCGAAAATAAGAATTTGAACTTGCCCGGATTATGAAAGAAAGAAAACCAAAGAATGTATACATCTGCAGAACCATTATATCATCATCACAATACAAAGCCAGACACTTAGGGTGAAAGGTGAGCTCTCTATCCAAGTAATAAAGAATTAAATATTTGTGTTCCGTTACTTGTGTATAACCTGTGACTAAGGATCAACAATTTCCCTCTGGCCAGTTGAGTGGAGTCCCCTTTCGGTTGTCACCATTTTATATTTTGGATTTTCTATTTATGTATTGTATATGTTTTAATGTTATCTGGTTTGGGTTTTTTTGGGTTTATTCGTTTTTTGTTTGCTCGTTTTGTGCTATATGCTGCCCAGAATCACATTGCTTGAGTTGGGTGGCCTTATAAATCTAGTTAATAAATAAATAATCTTTTTAGGCCTTGAGCTCCAGTTGAATCTGTGCAATGGCCTGGCTACTTTCCTGCAAATTTCGGAATCTTGCAAGATCTCCAAACCTTCAGATCTTGTGAGAATTCAGCAATCCCATCCATGGATCCCCAGGAGAGAAATCTCACCTTTGAGATTTCAGCACTTGACCACAAATGAAATGAGATGGCATTCTCACGGGAGAGCTGACGAAATGTTGCAGTTTTTGCACGGAGTGAAATAAAATCAACACAGCAACCAATGTGAAAACTGCCATCAGAATATTATTTATTAAAGGCACCGGTGCTAAAAAAAACAGCAGGCCAAATCTTTAAGCACTCCTGATTAAGGAATATTTGACAATTAGGTCGCTACCACCAACTGGTAATACCTTGGCAAATATACCAGTGCATCAGATATGGCAAGAGTAGGGCATTTCCATCCTACGATGCCAACCTAGTCTACCTCCAAGATTTTTCCTCTTCCCTAAAGACCTGCTCGTTCCTCACCGTTGTTCAGGGACTGCCAATTCTGCTGAGCCTCCTGCAGAATACTCAAGATCAGCGGATGGCTAGCCTCTCTTACTCCTTACTCTTCCTGCTTGTAGAAGAGAATGGGCACAGGTAAAGCCAGCCCAAGATAGCCTACATCCTTAGAATCCTAAAGTTGGAAGGGAACTTAGAGGTCATCCAATCCAACCCCCTGCTTAGTACAGGATCTACTACAGCCTGTTTGCCAGATGACCATCCAGCCTCTGATTGAAGACCTCAAGTGAAGGGGAGGTCACCACTTCATGTGGCAGCCTTTTCTACTGGCTGATAGCTCAACACTCAGTGTCATGGCCCAGGACTCAGACTCTGACTCTAAAGATGCTGCTCCAGCTGAACCAGTGGAATGTCAGCCTCAGGAGACACCAAGCCAGGAATCACCTGAGGCTCATCAAGAGCAGCCACCTCCGGAACAGCTGGAGCAGTCAGATATTGACATACAGCCTCCAACTCAGCGAGTAGAGCGAGCGGAGAGCAGAGCAAAGACGCTCAATGAGGCTCCTTGCCAAGCAAGGAAATAACTCTCTTAATTAAAGACAGCAGGCTGCAGCCTGCTTTAAGAGGCAGCTCTGACCCATGTTTTCCCGTTGGAAACAACCATCTGATTTCCTGCTCTGGTGTGCTGTTCCCATGATTCTGCTTGTGATTCCTGTAACCCTGACCTTTGGATTGACTGACAAACCTGACTTGGCTGTCTGAACTTTGGACTGGATTTGACTTCTCTTCTGCAAGTTTCTACTGAAAGGAAAACTATCCAGGCAATCTTTCTTTCCCAGAGACTCTCATTCGATTTACATTCCTTTCCTTCTCTGCTGTTATCTACTCAGCCTTGAGCAAATTGCTATTTTTACCTACCAACTGAGTGTGTGTGAGTTCAAAACCTGAAACAGGACACTCAGCCTGATGTCTAATTTGGACTTCCTGTAGAGAAAGCTAGCAGGATTAATTCCAGTCCTTGAAGGGAAAGGACAACGTGCAAGGAGAAACAAGTAAGCGGTTGCATGCTGCCTTCAGTGGAAGACATGACCCCATTTGTCCTCTGCCCTGAAAATGAATGGGAGCTAAGAAGGAACCGCCTGGCCCATTATGCATTTAAGAAGATTGCTGTGGGTCCATTTGTCATAGATGCTACAAATGCACCTTATATGCGCAAAGCTGGATTGGATAAGGGGAGACAGGGTCCAGCCCCAGTGCTTACTCCCACAGTCCCTCAAAAGGTTGCTGCCAAATTTTAATGTGGCAAGATGGGAAGGGAATAAAATAGACAGGTGGTATTTGCTGACCCAGCCACACCTTCTCATGGCAAATTGCTCCTTTCCATGCATCAACAGTGTATGATTTTTGTCAAAACAGGCAACAAATGAAAGTAAATCTGCAGTGGTGGGTTGGCTCCACCATGGACAGAGTTGAGCATAGCTTACTTTCTCCAAACCTTTCTGCCCTTTTCTAATTTGCCTGTGTGGCCACAGCAGGTAGAGAACCATGTATGAAAAACCAAAAAGAGATTGAAACCAAATTCCTGTGCAAGCCTTATTTTGGGGGGCCTCTAGGCTTTGTGAGCACAATTTTTGGGACCACAATGAGACAATTAACCTTTGGTTCACAGAATGTAATTGACTAGAGAGAGTTAGCTAAAAGCTAGCCCTTTCTGCTTTATTTGTAAAGATTAATTAATTGGTTGAGCACCTCTGTGACCTCTACCTTCCTCAAGTTAAGCATATCATGCAAACAGTTAAGCATGCCATGCAAACCTTTAGCCCTGTGCACATTTTGGAAAAAGCATTTCAGATCTCACACAAGCACACCTTTCTGCTGCTCATTAAATGATACCCGTCTTTTCCAGTTAAAGCAGCATGTCTTTAATGCAACTGTTCAAGTAGCCACATCGGCCTCATGCAGAATAAGACATGTATGTTTTAATAAGCAGCAGAGTGCTGGTATCCTTCTGCGGGTTTGAAGCACTTCTTAGGAATAATTTTTGAAATGTGCATAGGGCTAGTAATCATGTTAGCTATTTCACTTACTTTATTTCAACTTGATCAAGTTTGGGGATTTGTCTTTGTCACACCCACTTCCGTGTTGTGACCCCACTCCCTTTTTGCCATGCAGACCTTGGTACATCAACTGAAAAGAGAAATGCAGCCCTTAGAACCAACATTTCTGTATGCCTGGAATATTTGTCCTCATAAAAGTGTTAATGAAGACATGGCTTCTTTTCATTTCTGACATAGACCCTGCCAAGATTCAATACATTCTCTGAACTTTGCAAATATATGAAACTGTTTCTATAAAATTTTGCAAATGGTTTGCCTAGAGAAATATACGGGTTTAACAAGGGATTAATATGCAAAAGGCTTTGTCTGATCAAATATACTCAGGGCCCTTTTAATATTCCCCCCTCATCAATTTTTTCCTTTTAAAACAAGGATAAAAGGATACAAAAATATAATCATCCATGAAACGTTTCTTCAGATTTTCAACTATGGCATCTTCATTAATTTTGGAGAGCAAGACCATGTCATCCACCCCACTCTGTTTGACGTTGTGGCTCTGCCAATGGAAGCGTTCCTTGCTGCCCTTTAAGGGAGAAGAAAAAAGAGATTTAATCCATGAGAAAGTAACCCTGAGTTAAATTAGTGATAAATCAGTTTTCTTTGCTCTGGCTGGCATTGATGGAGTTATATCCAACACACTTGGAGGGCATCTGGTTGATGAAGAACGAGATAACATCTACCCCTTGCAGATTTTGTTTTTTTTACTAAAATTGAATTTTTAGTAAAATTTCCTCTCTTTTACGCACCAGTTGAAGACATTTGTGAATCTTCAGGATTTTGAAATAAGTTTTTTATTCTGGACCTCGCGGTTTCAATCTATGTTTTTCACGTTGAGATTGCTAAAAGTTTTGTTTCTTGTCCTAAATTGCTTTGCTTTTTACATTTGCGGGTTGAGCGAGTGAATAGGGAGAGCTAACAGGAGTTTGCCTCTGGAGTTCAATACTGTCGGAGAAAAAGAGAGTGACTGGGGATTCTGTTTGTTCTGAAGGATTATGTGCTGAAATGTGAGGGGTGAAATGCCATTTCTTGAATAGCCACTGATTATAAGGGGTGTGTCCTGAAAGCTGTGATTTGCATGGAGTGGTTGGATTACTCAGATGACTGAGTAAGCAGGGACTATAAAAAGAATATAGGGAGGTCTGGTTCCAGGGAAGAAACTTACTGAGGAAACAGTTTGGGGAGTGGGGGGAGTTTAAGGGGAAAATCCCTAACGAATTTTCTTTCTAAGTCAAGAGTTTGTACTTGTCTAAGATGAGAACCTGAGAAAAGAACAAGCCAACAAAATGATAGGGTTTCTGTTGATTATGTTTGAAGAAGAAAGAGGGAAAATGAATGGACAAGAATCTGAAATTGTGACCTGCATTGATTGTGGCATGTGTGAATTCCTCCTGAATTCAGCATGGCATATATTTGCAACATACCCAAGCTTGCTGCAGTACTTGAAGAAAAATTAAAAACTTTAGAGCAGCAGGTGACCATAGTTCAGCTGATGAAAAAGGCTGAGGATTTATCAGTTCAAAGAAAGGAGGCTTTACAAGTGAAAAGGAGAGCAGAAGTGTTGTTTACCCTCCTGGTTGTTGGTATCCCTTTTTGATCTTTAAAAGAGAAATCCTGTCACCTCTGGGAGATCTTTGCAAGATCTCTTCATCTTGCTGCCACCACAAAAAATCCTTTTCCGATTCAGAGATTTTTTTTCTTTTTCTCCTTTTATTTATGTCTGAGATAATGTGACTAGGTGGAATGTGTGGAAGATCAAGAGCAGCACATTTATATGACTACCCAACCCAACAACATGACTCTGAGCAGTGTACAAAAATTAACAACAGACACAAAGGAAAACAGTGCATAGCATTAAAACCAGCTAATCATAAATAACAAAATGGCAACCAGCACTAAAATATACTGTAACTCAACCAATTGGACCTCTGCTCATCTTGACCCAAAAGCTTGGGGGAAAAGCCAGGTCTTGACTGCCTTTTTAAAGGCCTGCAGGTTTGGAGCCAACCATATATTGGGGGAAGATTGTTCCAGAAGATAGGGGCCACCACTGAGAAGTCAACTGGCTAACATTTAAATGTAATGAATGGACTTTTGTTAAATAACTTTTAATGATTTATAAATGGGTTCACTTGATTCTACAGTGTATTTATATCCAGTCAATACTTGCCTACATGGCCACAAAATACAATCCTAAATCTATCTCCCTGGCAAGTGGCGGTTTTCTTAGCTAGGATTTTGAGTCTCTCTCAGACCCATCCTACCATCTCCACCTCCATACTCCCCAGTTCCTTCCTCCTTCTACGTAGAATAGAAACTGGTGGGAGGGGCCCTCATTGCCATGTTGTGAATGGCAGTTCCACCGTGCCATCCTCATGAGAATCAGCCCTCCAGAAGGATAACAGAGAAACAAAGGAACAAGCTCAGTAGATGGAAATGACAATCGGAAACAGGAGACAGAGAAGATACTCTGCTCTGTTGGAACTCAGAAACAGAGTTTCAGAGTTCTGCAGATGAAACAGGCTCTGCGTATTTAGAGGGAAAAAAATAGACATTGAAGAATGGGAGACGGGAGAGTATAAGCCCTAAAAGGCGAAGAGGACACAACTGTGCCCAATCAGAAGAAAAAGAAAAGAGTCATGCTATTTGGTGATTCAGTCCTGTGAAGAACTGAAACAAACATATGTCAGCCAAGCCCATCAGACTGTGAAGTGTGTGTCTTTCAGGAAATTCCTGACGTCTCTTGCTTTTTAATTTTTTTGTTTAATTTAATGGTAAGACACGAAATACTCACAAAAACAGAAGATCAGAGGTGATTACACAGTGAAAAAAGCAAACTGAGATATATTGTACTGATTAAAACAAACGAAATGCAGCCAAAAAGAAAAAGAAGACTAATTGATAGACAAGAGAAAGATCCATATGATGACTAAAGACAGTGATATAAAATGCATTCAGTCCATAAGCTTATAATTAAATCTTGACTGTATAGAAACATATCTTCTCATTTTTAGGACACAGAGACTTTTTTCAAAAATAGTTAACAGACTCATATCCTGGATCGGTTCCTTAAAATCAGGAGTGAGTTTCCACTCACTTGTGCTGACAACTTTTTCCTTCTGAGGGTAGAAAAAAGCATGAGAAGATCAGCTATCCTTGACCTGATACTAACAGAGAGGACTTCGTTGAGGAAGCGGGGATAGCAGGAAGATTGGAGGAGCATGGCCAGGTAATGGTGAGTGAGGCAGATTTAAGTCATCCTCAGCTGAAACAATACTCAGGTAGTGTATTGATGCAGGCTTTTACAGCTAGTGTCAGTCCAGTGGGGATGAGCTTCTGGGCTAACAGACCATGGTCTAGTTATCTGGTATCCTGACATTTCACTGGCATCTGTGGCTGGCATTTCAGAAGGTGAAGTGTAGCGCCCTTCTTGGCTGCTGACTGGCGACTGAGCAGGGATTGGCTGAGCTCTTGTATTTGTCTCAGAACTAATCTCTCATTGGACCATGTCATCAGAATTCTGGAAAACCAGTTTCTGATTGGTTCTCTATCCAGGTGAATTTGCAATTGTTCCGTCCAGGTAAGTTTGCAATTGTTCTGTCCAAGTGAATTTGTAATTGCTGGCAAAATGTCAGGATACGAGATAATTAGACCATGGCCTATTAGTCCAGAAACTTATCACCAATAAATTACTTAGGTAGCTTTTTCCTTCTATTCTAACACCATCCAAGGGCAGCCTCAAGGTGCATACAATCTGTTATGCTTTGCGCCCTGTTACCTTGGAGAGAAGTCATGGGGTGGCCATGACTTCAAACAAAGGAAATAGCAATGAGATAGGGCCCAGCGAGGGGGATAGTGAATTTCATGGGGTTATAATTATTTGCCAGCAAGGAAGGGTAGATAACATTTCAGCTCAGCACCTCTATGGAGAGGCACATCAGGGTTGGAAACACCATCACCAGCAATGTTTCCCAGTGTCTCATTTAACGTGCAAGATACATTTGAAGCAAATGCTTCCGACTTGCAGCACTTACTCTCAATTTAGTTTGTTCGGGCTAATGTATCTCCTTCACAACTGACTGCTTACATACAGTATTTAAAAGGCTTGAGCTTTGTTCACTGTCGTTGCAAACAGTGTAACTTGACGGGTTATGCATACTTACTGAAAATAAAGATGCCACATCCTGTGCTGACCACCCAGTGCAGGGAGAAAGACACTTGCTGAATTATCTCTTTCAGGGAGGGGCCAAGAAGAGAGTAAAAAAAGCTTGCTAAACTTTTCAGATCAAGTCACTGCCCAGAATACCTTTATCCTGCGCAGTCTTGTTTGAGCCTTATGAGGGATTAGATTCCAGCCATAGACCCAACCAGGACCAAAATCAGGGAGAGTCAGATATCTGATTTTTAAAATTTTTTGTTCAGGATGCAGCATAAAAACATAGCCATTTGTATCTCATCACTCTTCTTGCATTACTAACTGGAGTACAAAACCGCATGGAGGCATTATCCTCAGTAATCCAGAGGCTGGTGGGAAAGAAGTGAGGAAGCAGGACCTGGTGAGACGCTTGAAGTTCATGTAGGATTGTGTATTCCTTTTCTGCCTGTATCTGTTATTCAGAAATGGATAATCTCTGACTGATAATCAGAGATGATGATTCAAACCAGCATTTCTCAAGCTTCCAGAAATGTAGACTTCCAACTCCCAGAATTCTCTAGGAAACATGGTTGCTGAGAATTCTGGGAGTCGATATCCAAGCACCTGTAAGCTGACCAGGCGAAGGAACACTTTTCTAAATTCATTTGGTGATTGTGTCGTAGAACTGCACTTTCTCTATGGCAGCACCTGCCCTCTAGAATCAGGTTCCCCCCAAGATCCAAAAGGCCCCCACTCTGCCGTTGTTCAGAAGAGCCGTGAAGACTTGGCGAGGGAAAGTGAGACCCCTCAGTTGATCACGCTTGCCATCTTTTATCTTTATCTTTTAAATTTTACTGATGCTATTATTATTTCTTTTTTAAATTGATGTTAATGTTATTTCTTTGTTTGATTATTGTGAAGTGCCCAGAGCCATGGGGAGGTGGGTGGTATACAAGTTTAATAAATTATTATTATTTTATTCTATCTATTATTATTATTATTTGATTCTATCAATCAACCTCCGTAAGAGCCACTGGAAAATTGGCATTCATTCTAACTCTTAATGTTCTCTGATACTGTATACATCAGTGTTTCTCAATCTTAGCAACTTTAAGATGTCTGGACTTCAATTCCCAGAATTCCCAGCCAGCATGGCTGGCTGGGGAATTCTGGGAGTTGAAGTCTACACATCTTAAAGTTGCCAATACAGAGAAACGCTGCTTTAAAACCTATAACCAAATCCTTACTCAGGTGTAAACTGCCTTTGCATTTTAGTTCTAACTGACATATCTCTCATAACCATTGTTTTAGAATTTGCAACTCTGAGCGCCTCCAGGAAGTGCACAAGCAGGAAATGAAAACAACAGCATTTCCTTGTAGGTTCCCTTCAA